GCAGGCCTGCTACTGTCTGTGGAGACTGAGGGATGGTAGATGCTAAACCAATGATATAGCAGGCATAGAAAAAAGAAACTCAAGGGTAAGAGTGTAGATTTATTAGGCGGGATGCACAACTTGTCTTCCTAAATGCCCCAGAGGATCAAGAATCATCCTTTATTCATAAAAGTCGCCCAGTGAGTCTTGTGTCCGTAATCAGACTTATCTGACTAGATGGGAAAGCACTGAAGAGGGTAGTGACTGAGCATGAGGTGGACAGTGACAGAGCAGGAAGAGGACAGTGACTGAGCTTGAGGGGGACTGAACATTTCCCTGTTTTACACGTTTGTCTTGTTTACTCTTCTCTGCCACCTTTTGGGACAGAGCTGTCAATGTTCCCCTTTAAAGTCAGGGGACCAGCGCATGGAAGGCCGTGACCTACTCAAGGTTGTATGGTTGGTGCTCAGTGACGTGGGGTCAGCCTTAAGTGCTGTAGACACAGGGGCGTTTCAGTGAACATCAGGGAAATGCCTGGACTGCCTGGTCCTGGTGTGGAGGGAGCTGAGCCCAGCGCATGAGTGCCTGAGGAGCTGGGAAGAGGCGGGCACCTAGAAAGGATCCTGCAGGTGGGGAGCCCCAGAGGGGACTGGGCAGGTAGACTGGAAGGCACTGCTGGGAAGGGAGGTCTCCTCTCCTGGTGTCAGGTGGCTGGTGAGGACAGCAGGCCTGCATGGTGCAAAGCCTGTCGGGGTGGTTGCTGTGGATGGACAAGATTCAGGCTGACCTTTCCCTTTCTAAGCTGCAGAGATGAAATGTGATGACGTGGTGTGACACGGCCTTCCCAGTCACAGCGGCTGGGGGTTCAGGCACCACCACTCAGGTCTCAGTGCTGAGAAGGGTGCCTGTGGACCTGCTTCTAGGAGTGCACAATTGGTGCTAGTCTTCTGACTCAGGGACTTGGGCCTCCGAGTGTGGTTAAGTGTTATGATAATGCTCATTTTATATATTTTGGAAAATACAGAAACCCAGAAGAAAAATCACCATATTCCCACCGGCTGTGGCTCCTGTCCAGGTGTGGGATGTGAGATCAGTGAGAAGAGAAGGAAATTAGTTAGAGAGGTGGAGATGGTCTCTGAAAGGAGAGAGAATGAACCACCGTCTATTAACTGCCTTGTACACACTACACACCTGTGTGCACACATGCACACACCATGCACGCTCACAATGCACCACATACATGCTCATATCACACAGCACGCATATGCTCATGCGTGCACAAGCCCTAGGGAGTCTGCAGGTGGGTAGGGTGGTGTGGCCAGAGCTCTCATACCTGGGTACCCTGAGAATGAGAGGGTGTTGTCTGAGGCATGCAGAGGAGGTGGCCTTTGCCGTATATCCTGAGGGGCAAATGAGAGTGTTTGGAGGCAGGATGTCCTCAGGGTGGAAGTGGCTCCTTTTCTGGCTGTGGGGGTCTGGCAAGCGCCGGCCAGCATCTCTGCTTTGGAATCACTGTCTGCACACAGGGGAGCCACCTCCACTCCCAGAACTGGGAAGGGGCTCAAGGGCGGCCGCTGCTGCCCCTGAGTTATAAACCATTCCCCATGCGGGCTCTAGCCTTCTGCACAAAAGCCTTTCTGTTGGGGCTGTGGCCTCTTTTACCCACCACCTCTCGTACTTGCTATTCTAAACCCAGGAAAGGAAAGAGGCCCTCTGGTTCCCTTGGCTGTGCAGGGGCATGGAGGGGGAGAGAGAGGGGCAGGCCTGAGCCAGCTCCCACCTGTGCAGGTGAGGCCAGTGCTTCCGGTGTAGATGCAGGGCCTGGCTGCCCGCAGCCCCAGGCACACGAGTCCATTCTGGCTTTCCTTTAACACGGTCAGAACCCTTTGTCTGGGCTAATCTGGCTCATCAGGCGTGAGGCCCGCTCCGCAGGCTGCACCCTGGCTGCTGACTCACACTCCTCCTTCGACCCCCTCCACACCCTGCCCGCCCCCAGTGCTCGCTGGCAGCAGGGGTGCGGCTGCCGACTGACTGGACAGGGGTGGAGAGGCGAGGGCGGGGCCCAGAGCACCTGCACATGACAGGAGGCTTATTTTTACACACTGTCAGCTGGAAATAATCAACTTATTTAAAGAGAATGTGGATTCAGAGCGTTAAAAAAAGCCCCCAACAGCATGCTGAGCTGTGCTAGGAGTGACTCTCCTGGCTCCGTTGGGAGGGTGCTGCAGGTCCATGTAGGGTGAGCCAGGCCGAGCACCTGTAGAGCTGCCCACCCCGAGATGCTGAGAGACCAGAGGTCCTCCGTGAGCACCCAGCTCTGGGGGACTTCCCTCAGGACAGCCACCTGCAGGGTGGAGGGTGGCCCCTTGAGGAGGTGTGGCCTGTGGTGTCTCCCATTGTCTGCTGCCCGTCCTGGTCCTAGGGGCCACGTGGGCACCAGCCATAAGGGCTCAGCCACATGTTTGGAAAGTAGCTGTCCCCTCACTTTGAAGGGTCCTCAGGGTTATTTCCTGATCCCCGCAAGGTGCCAGGCCAGGTTGGCCTTTATTTTGTGTGGGGGTGTTTTATTTATGTGTTTCCGTAACTTCGGTTATTTAAGTAGGTCACACACACACAGTTTAAAGGCCATAGAGAGAAAGCTGTGCAGTGAGGGGTGAGCCCCCTCATCCTCCCTCCTGGTACCTGGTGTGGGTTGGAGGTATTCTCCACACATTCAAGCACGTCTGTCAAATGTGAGCTTTAAAGCTGCAGTGGGTGCTAGAGTTGGGAGAAAGCGTGTGGGTCTGGGACGTGGGCGTGGGGCCTGGCCACCCCGTCCTGCTGTGACCGTCTCCCTAGGCCCTATTTTGGGGGGTCAGGATGCAAGCAGGCTGGCGTAGCCGCAAGGGAGCTGCCTGGTCGTGGGGGCCACAGGTTGGGTCTCTGTCTCCTGTCGACGCGTTCTTAGGGAGAGCTGTTTTTCTCTTGATGATAACGTGTCTACATATTGTTGGGAATTTGGCTACCTGAGGGTACAAGGAAGGAAGTCAAACTGCTTGTTATCATGCTACTCAGAGACAGCCACCAAGGCTTACCAGCCTCCCTTTATATAGAGACACGCACACGTGTATATGTGTGTGTGCGCTTCTTCTTAGAAAACTAAACCTATACCCTACAAGAAAGCTATGTACTCTTTTTCAGGTTTATAGCATATTGAAAGCTTTTCCTCACATCACTGAACAGTTGTTGTAAACACTTGCATTGGTGGCTTCTACATCAAGCTTACTCTGGCCGCCCGTGTCCAGGCCTTGATCGATCCTGTCTCCTTTGTCCCACCCTGCTCTCTCTGTGGCTCTTGGTCCCCGCAGGGGCCCACCATCCCTGCTTGGCCTGCTGGAGCAGGTAGTTTGGGGCTGGCATCCTTTCTGATTGGTCAGTGCCTGGCCTGCCGATATTAAGTGCTGAATTTTGAATCACCCTAATCAAACTGCTGCAACAGAGTACCACAGACTAGGTAGCTTAGGTCACCGGAAATCATTCTCCTGTAATTCTGGAGGCCTCAGTCCAGGACCAGGGTGTTGCAGGGCTGTACTCTCTTCAAGACTGGGTAGAAGAAGCCTTCCTTGCTTCTTTCAGCTTCTGGGGTTGCTGATCGTCTTTGGCATTCCTTGGCTTGCAGCTGTATCGCCATCTCCCTGTGTCTCTTCACATCGTCATCCCTCTGTGTGTGCATCTTCATGTCCAGGTCTTCCCTTTTTAAGGACTTAGTCATATTGAATCAGGGCCCACTTTAATGACCTCATTTTAACTGCAATACCAGTACAAAGACCCTGTTTCCAAATAAGGCACTTTCTGAGGAGCCGGAGGTTAGGACTGCAACATATGAATTTTGGGGGACATAGTTCAACCTATAACAGCTGCCAGTTACCAGTCGAGAGAGCCTGGGCTGTGATGGAGGCCCGGCCTCACGATATAAGTTGTACAAGGCATACCCACAGGATGTAAACGTGTTCTTGTCCTAAAGCTTCAGCCAGGAAAAGTGTATCCTCATTTAACCACCCCTCCCAACCCCTCCCTGATCAGAGGTGAGGGGCTGATGGGGTGCATGCGTTCCGAACCTTTTCTGTGCATTTTCATCTGCACAAGTACAGACAGGCATAGCTTTGTGTCTCCCCACCAGTGGAGTCTTGTCCATGGGCCTCTTCCTCCAGGTGCCTCTGCTGGGCTCCCTGAGCCTGGAGAAAGTGGCTGAACTGCCCCTGTTGTTGGGATGTCTGCACTCATGGGTATTGCTTCCTCCACAACTGTGCTTCTGCCTTTAATTTAGATCTAACGCTCACTGTAATGCACTCTTGAGTCCAAAGTTTTATATGATGTTTATGCTGTTATTAAGACTAAGTCTTATGGTAAATATTTCATTGTGTTTTATTTTTAACATCAGCTTCTTGGCCAGGCCTGTCTGCATCTGTGCTGAGTTGGTATTGCATGTGCAGTGGGGTTTTCTAGGCTGTCTCATAAGCACACTGCTCACATCTTAAGAAAGCCTGCAGTTTTGTGCAGTGCCTTGGCTTCAGTTTATTGACCAGGAGAAAGTGGAGACTGGGGTTGGATAAGGGCTGAAGTTGTTTTGCTTTCTTTTTAAAGATAGACCCTGCCAAGCATTTTATGAGAAACCAGGTCCCCACAAGCCCCGGGATTTTATTAACGAGGCCTTTGGTTAGTTGACTGGCCTGGTTTCTAAGCTTCAGGAAGACCAGGCTGCGCTGTGGACTGTGGTCGCAGACACTTTTCCTGACCACGAGGGTGCTGCACTCAGGGTCTTCTCTGCAGCTTTTCCTTTTGTCCCTGTGGTTTCCCGGAGGGCTGAGTAGGAGGATCAGAAAGGAAATTGCCCAGAGAGAGAGGGAGTTTGAGATGCAAAAGGAAGTGAGATTTAGGTAAAACTTCTTCAGGACCTAGAGACGGTGTGCACTCGGGTGCCCCGTGGCCTTCCCGTCCTGCGTGTGGGCTGGGCTGTCATCTTACTTCTTGTTCTTTCTCAGGAGACAGGAGCAGTTCCAGAGAAACCCCGACAGCTACAACGGTGCTGTGCGTGAGAACTACACCTGGTCGCAGGACTACACTGACCTGGAGCTCAAGGTGCCAGTGCCCAAGCACGTGGTGAAGGGCAGACAGGTAATGGGGGCTCTTGTGGCTTCTCTGCTCAGCTTCTTTCCTCGGGGCACAGGTGTTGGGCTGTGGGCTGTGCTGGAGCCAACCTGCCCTGTCTCTCCCATTCCTGGTAGTCTTTACTTAGCCACAAACACAAAACTGTTTCTTTTTTTCAGTTACAAACACACCCCACCTGCCTTTTTAACCACGTTAAGTTGAGTATGAGACCCATCTCAGCCCTGGCCAGCCTTCCTGTGCTATGTGGATAGCACATGAGCTTCGTTTTTTTTTAATTACAATAGTCTCATATCATTTATTGCATTTAGTCTCCACAAAAACACTACGAAATAGGCAAGGCAGTTGTTATACCCATTTCACAGATGGAGAAAGTGGAGTAGTGATAAGTGGACTTCCGGTCCTGTGTGCTGCAGAGCCCTTCCATAGAGCAGGGGGCCATGTCAGGTTGGAGCTGTAACATTGACAGCTTGAGTTGATTTCTCCATCTCAATGAGCTTGAGTGAGTAGAAATTTAATCTTTCAGTGGGAGAGAGAAGTTTACTCAGGAACCTTGCTGAGAATAACATTGTTGTAGGTCATTGTAGATAGGTAGGCCTCACTTGAAAGAAAAACTCCTCATGTGATGTATGAAATGGGACATTATGTTAATATAATCCTCAATATAAAAAATTCTGATATATGCCAGAAACTGTATCCTTATTTCCCTCTTCATGAGAACATGTACTGTAAGTAATATCTTTCATGTTTTGTAGATGAGAAATTGAGGCCGAGAGAAGTCACTCAATTATCTATTGTGTCTACCTCATTCTTGTTATGTCTGGAACCTTGAGTGCTCTCCAGATGTTTTTGAATGAATGAATGGCTGAATGACTGAAGTGGTCAAGCCATGGTTTGATTCAGGTGTGTCTGCTTCTGAAGCTCATACTGTTTCCCTGCGTCCCACCCCTCACTTTATAAAGAGAAGCACTGCTGGCTTCTTTACAAGAGAAGGCCCCGGAGCATGTAAAATGGAAGTTGAGTTGCATGTACATTTTCTGGAAACAATTCCCCTGTGAAGTGGTGCCAGCTCCTGCTGGTCTGGATACATGTGCAAATCCAGGCTAGGTGGTGAGTGAACGCCTCTGGGTCCCCCTGTCCTGAGGCCTCATCTAAAACAGGCCTGCCTTGTGTGCAGGGCCTGGGGGGCCAGGGCAGCCTCTAGTAGACTGTGACTTCCTGCCAGTGTCAGATGAACTCGACTTGTTTTGCAGCATGAAAGACGGGAGCCCTTGAGCCCTCACAGCTCCATGTGGAAGTGAGTCAGGGATTGATGGATCTGGCACTGGCTGGAGCAGTACTGTCCGCTCATTCCTCCATTTCTCCCTCTTCCCACCCCATCCCTGGAGGTCTCACCAGGGCTCAGTGACCCCTGGCCAGGTGGACTTGAGGATTTAAGTCAGACTAGGTAACTAGGGGTCATCCCCACAGAATCCCACTTCCGACGACCACCACCCCTCTGGTTCTGGTAGGTCATAGCAGGTCAGGCTGACCCTCCTGTTGGAGTAGGTCAAGTATTGATTTTCATTTCATTTTTTGGTAGGATAGCTTTGTATATAGGTGAATAAATTATGAAAAGTGTTGGTTACCACACTTTATTCCTTGGCTAAAACAGTTACGGTTCCTGGTCTAGTATCTGTCTTCAAACTTCTCCATGAACTTCTGGAGATTTCTCTGAAATGACTTGTATTAGACCTAACCTAAAACTAGTTATTTTCTCTTTCTTTGACTCAGAAGACCCAGATTCCCTGACACTTCTCGCTGAACTGTCCACAGCCACCCGGGAGAACTTCCCACTGAGAACAGTGTCTCAGGTATACACACTGTAATTGGAGGTCAGTCTCACAATTCAGTTGCTCTGCTGCGAGCAGTGTGTTGTGAGGGTCCTGCCCTTTGTCTCACCATGCTAAGGGGCAGACCCCGTCATACTTCAGGTTCAGATCCGCGTCTCTCTCAAGTGCCCTTGTCATGATTTCTAGATTGATAAGGCCTCGCTTTGCCCGAGGATGGCCCTTTGCTCATTCCTGCATTAGACATTTACTGAGCATGTGATGGTCCCCAAGACTCGGACAAGATTGCTGCTCTGGAGTTGATATCTGTGGGGCTCAGGCAGTGACAGCAGATGCACCAGCATGGCAGTGGCAGGAGTGGCAGGCGCCATGCAGAGCATAAACAGGCAGTCTGTTTGCTTCAAAAAGTACTGCGCAGTGCTTTTTCAGGGCCACGCACTGCTCAGCCCCTCTTCCCACCAATCCTTTGAGGTGGTTTCGGTGTGCACAGGATTCACTGGTGGAGGGCAGTTTGTTCAGGCTCTTCCCAGGTTGACTGGCTCTGGAGGCAATGCTCTCAACACCCGGAGATGTGTGGATGAGCCTGAGTGTTTGCAACACTGGGATTGAAAGAGGCAAGTTCCACGTAAGCTGTTGATTTATCTAGTGTTGGCATTTTTGTGACACGTGCTAACTTAATTTACACTAGTCTTGCTTCATCTCCTATGTAGTTGAATTTTTCTTTTTCTCCTTCAATAGTATTTTTTTCTGTGTCTTTCTTTTTTTTCCTTTTTATTGAGGCATAATTGACATACAACATCATATTAGTTTCAGGTGTACAACATAATGATTCGATATTTATATATATAGGGAAATGATCACCACAATAAGTCTGGTTAATATCCATCACCATACGTAGTTACCGAATTTTTTTTTCTTGTGATGAGAACTTGTAAGATTTACTCTCTTAGCAACTTTCAAATTCCATGTTATTCTTATACTGTAACCTTCTTTTAAAAAATTGTGGTCTCTCAATTTCTTAGTGATCTAAGAGTTTTAGTCATGTCTCACTTAAGTTTATTTTGCATTTCTTGGCTTTTGCCAGTCTCAGGGTTTTTTCTCAGTGTTGCCACTTTGTGGACTGGCTCCTTTCTAGCAGTTCCCTGGGATACCTGTCACAGCTGCCTGTCAGCAGTATTTATTTTTGGCTTTTGTCTGTGGCACCTATCAGGTATCATCATGACGGTAGCTGTGATTGCAGCAGCTCAGCTGATGAAGTCACAGTTGTTCTGGCTTTGTAAGTAGCTCTGCACGTGCGGGGTGACGGCGTTGGGGTCAGGGGTGGATGTGGGCAGCACTGAGTGTTAATGGAGTAACACTCCAGCTCTTCTCCAGCTGTAGCGTGGTGCTGGAGGCACCAGAAGGCTGCCCTTCTTTTACTTTTTTGTGTTGATTTCTTTTCTGAGAAATGGCTTTGCCTCTCAAGTGTCGTGGGGGACAATTAAGAGTGTGTGCATAATGCTTTATGTTCAAGTGTTCTTATTTTACGTGCAACTTTTTTTTATAATTTTGCTGGTGAATCTAAAGAAAAATTTCTTAAAATGAAGCTTTGGTCTCATGCATTAGTGAAAGGTGGTTAGGTCTTTGCTTCGTCCACTCTGCTTAGGAAAAGCAACTGAGTTCCCCTCTTTCCTCAGTGTAGCCATGGAGTAGAGGAAGGAGCTTTGAGATCATAACGTGCTGTTTGTGCGATAGCGTTAAGTCAGCCAGGTGGTTATAAACCTGGCATTTCAGTGCATCGTAGGAGATTCACTGAGATTTTTAGTCTACCTTCTCATTTTGCAGATGAGAAAACTCTCCTGGAGATGTAAACCACTGAGGCCCCAGACCATCTGGTGAGATGGTGGCAGAGTGGAGACCAGCACCCGGCCCCCGCCCCCACCCTGTTTGATTGATCGTCTTTTGAGTGGAAAATGTCATGATATTGTTGCAAGCGAACTCATGACTAGATGACATTGAGTGACAAGTGAATTTATTTCCTCTTCCATATTCTCCTTCCTCTCAGAGATTGTGAGTGGTATTTGCTGACTGATGAGGTCTTGCTGGCTGGTTGGGCTCACTGCCGTCTCTGTCCCCACCATGGGAACCTTCTGGAACAGCGCCGAGGCCCCAGGGCATGTCTCATACGGTGATGCCTCCTTGCCCCTGAGTTTGATGCAGCTGCTGGAATTCGTGCTACAAGCTCAGTTACATGGTGTTCCCTTCTTAGAATGTGTTTAGAAAAAATGTAGGAAGACTCTTTATTATAGGAAACTTTCGTAACACAAAAGGCTAATAGGCTGCATTTATCTACTTTATTTTTAAATTTTTGAATGAGAAGCACATTTACCTGTTCAAAAGTATAAAAATGTACAACAAAAAGTCTCTCTCCTGCCTCTGTGCTTCTATGCTGTACCAGCTCCCACCCTGACCTCAGTCATCACCTTACTAGTTTCTGAGATATTTTGGCAGATATTTTTTATGCATATATAGTCAAGTATGAATATACATTATCACATCTCCACTGTTAGCACAGATGATATGTTCCCATTCCCAATTACTGGCACCACCAGGCTGGCTCTGGTCTCTTGCGTTGTCTGCCATGTCCCCAGTGCCTCTGGTGCCTGCCAACCAGAGGTTGCCCTTGGGTAGACCTAGGATTTCCCATGTCATCTGGCTCAGGCTGGCCAAACCCTGAGAGTGCAAGTGCCTTGAGCCCACCACCCCTTCACCCAGGGCTCCAGTCTCTGCTTTTGCCCCCTTCAAGCAGCAGGCTGATTACTAAATTAGTCCCCTGGTAGTTAGCATTTAGGTTGTTTCCAATCTTTTGCTATTATAGACAATAAAGCAATGAATGCCCTTTAATAAATTTCATTTTGCATGTATGCATTCCAAGAATAGATTCCATGAAGTGCAATCGCCAGATTGAAAGATACGTGGTATTAAAAGGTATTTCTAATTTCTATAGGTATTGGTAAATTGCCCACCATAGGGGTTGTACTAATTTACATTCCCATCAATGATGTGCAAGAGTCCTTGGTTTTCACAAATTTGCTGACAGTAGTATGTTATCAAACTCTTGGGTTTTATAAGTTGGGTAGGTGAAAAAGAGCATATAGGTATAATATGAATTTATATTTCTCTGATGAGTGAGATTGAGCA